TTAGATTTACCTACATGTATCAGAAAACATAGCTACGTCAGATCGACATGTTCGCGAGTCGCCTGCGCGCATACGTGCCATTTCCGAGAAAAATCGTAGAGGAAAAGTTGTAGGACTTGATGTAAGCAAGCCACTCACAAAGTATGGGGTTTACATGTATAACTGAAAAAAAAGGTCCTTGGATGGTTGACTACTATACTTACCTAAGTTCAACTGTTTTGGAAATATTGACAGTTGAAATTTGACTTTTTTGCAACTTTGACAGGCTGAAAAACCTAAACGGGTAATTTTACAGAAAAACCGATTGTACATTCACATCTTAGATTTTCATAAACTATCATTTGACACCAACTTTGAGTTTAATCCATGATTAAAAATTTAATCTCCGGTTAAAGTCAACGTTGGTGTCAAAAGATAGCTTACGAAACGCTGAAAATGAGAATGTGAAATTTTGCTGTAAAATTAACCGTTTAAGTTTTACAGCCTGTGAAAGTTACGAAAAAGTCAAATTTCAACTGTCCATATTTCTGAAACAGATGAACTTAGGTGTGATCAGAATTTCACGTAGAATTTAAATATTCAATAATACCTATACAGGGTGTCTCATTTGAAAAAAAATTAAATTGTTTCTTAAACGTTCTGCAACACCCTGTATGAATAAAACTATGTTTTCTGAGAACTATTTTTCAAGCTATACACTTCTCCTATTTGCACTTTTTCTATATACAGTGGCACAAAAAAGTTAAGGGGGATGGGAAAATATAAAAAATGACCCTGTGCCTAGGCAGTGTTGCCAGATGAAATAAAAAAAAATCGTGAGAATCGATAAAGAAAAATCGTGAGAAATCGTGAGACCTAAAACTGCTTGTAAGAAAATAATAAGCAATGCTCTTCTATGGATTTTTGATAGAGTAGACATGATTTCACATCCATAAGAAATTTTATTATTACTTAAATCTTGAATCCTTGTTTTTTCCGTTTTTAGTAGGTGTTTCTGAGAACTGAACCTGTTTTCATTATCCGCAGGATTGCTTATCCTGAAAAGGCGTACGTTCGCCAATTTTCGAGTCGGCAGCTGGTCTGCGAGTGACGTCACTACTATCAGCAACTGATAGTAGTAAAGTAGCAGACGTCGATGGAATGCTTGCGATCCAGGCTGTGCTTGTGAGTTAATTTTTTTGGGAATTTTAAATTAAGAAAAGGCGATTTCAACGTTTATGAATTCGTTTTTTTGGACTCGGATAATGCATTTTCTGCCAAGAGTTGAGGTCTGCAGCGGAAGTCACAAATAGTAGGGTCTCGTGGACTTCGCAGACACTTTTAGCTCAATAGGCAGTCCTATTAGCAGAGGATATACAAAAACAAACAGCAGGTTAACTCTCACGCACATCTCTTCTGCGCACGCCGCCATTTGAGGATAGAGCCTATCTTTGAATGGCAAAACAATGAGATTTAACGCCCATCTCATCTGCGCACGCCGCCATTTTGGGATACAAAGCTCCTAACTACTGATTGTTTTTGTATATGCCGTGCTATTAGGTTAAGTTCTTAGGCGCGCATGTACCAGGAGCGGCATATAACTAAATATTGTATAGCAGATTTTTTTTGTTATATTTCGAATATTTTCGATTACATTATATTTGATTAGATACTGATTTGCATTACTACAGAGAGAATTCGTGAGATTTGCTACCTCATTCGTGAGATCGTGAAATTCTGACCAAAATCGTGTAATCTTACGAATAATCGTGAGATCTGGCAACACTGTGCCTAGGTATAAAATATGTACCTACCTAGGTACCTGCTTATTGCGAAGGAATATAGTATCACAGACTTTTTTAAATAAAGAAACTCAATACATAGGTGAACCTAGATATCAAAATATCAAAATTCAGAATTCTATAATGCATCAATTACAAAAATCAATAGCCACCATCAGATTACAACCGAAAGGCAGTCAGAATCACCCAATCAGTTGAAATAATCTTAAAAGCCTGGGAGAAAAAGTTACTATTCAAAAAAATACATTTTCTAGAGATTTTCTCATGACATGGAAAATTCTCAGTGCCCCCCCCCCCCCTGGATCCGCCACTGGTGGGGGCTTTACATTTGTTTCACACAGGACTTATACGCTATTCTGTAGTGGTAGTGTGTATTATCCTTGACATTTCACAGATATTCAATGGCATTTCCGGTTGGTAGAATGAGTGCAGGGAAAATGTATTTCTATCTGTTTCTTGAACAGGCTGAAAGAAAGAGATACAAATACACTCAGTGCGAATTAAATCTACCCACCAATCGAAAATGCGATTGCCTATTAAGCAAATAAGTAGGTACTCCAAAATGATCCAGTTCTAACAGAAATTTGCCTGCTTGCTTTGCTGGGATTTTAATGGCCATTTGTGCGGCTGGGATATTTAATAAGTGGAGCTTTAAATGTAATTTTTGTTTCCACAAGAGTCACATTCAAAACTCCACTTGGATTGAATATTCCATAGGTAAGTTATAGCGGTGCAAATGGCCGTAATTGCTTTCTATAATATATCATAACATACAGGGTGCTCTATTTAAAAATGTGCACTCTTCATCTTTTTTGTACCTGGCAACACAATTACTAATTTCGACCAACCCTGTATAATGTAGAACAAATTTAAAGGCTGTAAAACCTAAACGGTAAGTTTTAGAGGAAAACCGATTTTACATTTTCATCTTAGATTTTCATAAACTATCATTTGAAACCAACTTTGAATTTAATCCATGATTAAGAATTCCAATTAAATTTAATCTCCGGTTAAATTCAAAGTTGATGTCAAATGATAAATTATGAAAATAAGATAGGAAGCTAAGATCGGGTTTCCTCTAAAATTAACCGTTTAGGTTTTACAGCATGATGTCAAAGTAACAAAAAGTATTTTCAACTGTCAATATTTCCAAAACAGTTAAACGTGGAATCCAAATATGCAATCACATAAAGATACAGGGAATCTCATAACCGGAAGAACCACCATCTTGAAAATATTTAGGTCGAGTTGCCCCCAATGACATTAGTATGCTGTCAAATTTTCAAAAATTTTCTGCATACAGTTTTTCATAATATACAGGGTGTATATTTTGAGTGATACCACTATTGCTATATCTGAAACGGTAAGAGCTAAAGTCTGTTTTTTTTTTAAGATAATTCCCCAAGTCAAAAATTTAGTAACTATGTTGGCAACACAAGCCTTTTCTACATAAAAAATTTGAAAGATTGACAATTTTACATTGTATTGCCAACATATTGTCAGTTTGACTTTTATCTTTAAAAAAAAAAACAGATTTTACAAGGTCGGTTAAATTAGAAAAAAGTTGCCTTTTTTGATGCCCATTCAAGACTTGTTTACAGTGTTGCCAAATTCCTTTTAGTTTACGAAATACAGGCTGATTTCTAAAAAGCGTCTGAAATTATTTCATCAATTATTTCGAAAACTATTGATATTCGAGACACAATTTGAATTCGAAAGTTTTATAATTTTTTTTGCTCTACAACATTTCAAATCCGACGTTTCGTGATCGAGCAACCATCATCAACTTCATTTTTTTAAATACGGACCTGGATTTTTTATGTCATTTCTAGAAAGGGAAAGAAGGGCGCTTTTTGAAAATGACAAAAAATCCAGGTCCGTATTTAAAAAAAATAAGTTGATGATGGTAGCTCGATCACGAACGACAGATTTAAAATTTGAAGAGGCAATATTGTAGATCGAAAAAAATTATAAAACTTTCAAATTTAAATTGTGTCTCGAAAATCAATAGTTTTCGAAATAATTGATGAAATATTTTTGGGCGTTTCTTAGGAATCACCCTGTATTTCAAAAACTAAAAGGAATTTGACAACACTGTAAGCGAGTCGTAAATGGGCATCAAAAAAGGCAATTTTTTTCTAGCTTAACCGCCCTTGTAGCTCTTACTGTTTTGGATATAGCAATAGTGGTATCACTTAAAATATACACCCTGTATAGATATAGATTGATTTGGTTCCCGGTGGGACACTCTGTATAATTGATTTATCTAGGAAAAACTTAATCAATAATTTCGCTTGCGGAGGTTTGCTGTATTGAATTAGACGGTAAATTTAGGCAATATTATAGGTAGTTGATTATTATAGGAAAGATGCAATATTTATGTTTGAATAATGCAACTCGTCAGGTTTTTTTATATGAGTAGGTACCTAGGTATAGTTTACCCATTATTAATTGAAACTTCATAAAAAAGGCGGCTCAGTTGATCTCTTTGAAGTCACGTGGGAATCCATAGGCGTCTAAATATTATTATCATGACAAATGAAAACAAATTGGTTAATAAAGAATAAACAAACTCCAGATATTTCTATAAAAACTGAAATGACGAACGCCATTGCCCCGAAATTCTAGCTGATTTACTTCTAGAATACAGTGGAGTTAATACATTAAATAAATGGGCAAAATTCATATTCAAAAATTCAGGTAATCCTTAAAATTCCGTTTTAAACTATTGAAATAAATCAAATATAAATATTTGAATGGGAATATTATTCCTTTATTAAAAATTCAAATTTGAAATTGATTTTTATTCAATTATCTGTGTAATTTTATACTTTTGTCCACTTCTAAAGAGAATATCTCACACTGTCAACAAGAGCGGCTCGCTTTGTCGGCAAGCGATAAAGCCCAGCGGCATTGCCGACAATTTTTCAAGCTTTTTTGCCGGTGTGCGGTGTCTTTGTTATAGTGTACCAGGACTAGGCATAAAAATATAAAAATAATTTTATATTACTATAAGGGGTATTTTTCGAATTTTGAGTAATCAGCATAGAGATGCGATTTTCAATTGATAATGGTAATACTTTAAATACTTATTCTTCAACAAATGATCAGTAAACTTATTTGACTCCATAGGGAAGTAGGTATAGTGAAGAGCCTAGTGTAAAATAGATTTACCTTATCAATCGGAAAAATTATGAGATAAAGAATGCAAACACTCACCCTGTCGCCGTTCAATGGTTTCAAATTGGATGCGACTTTCTTCTTTTTCCTCTTCCTGCTGAGTCACCTTGGGACTGAAAAATTTCACAATAAAACATTGGACCATTACCCAAAGAAAATTTGAATCAATCCAATAATTATTATTAGGTTTTCTCTCACCTTAAAAATACATCTTCAAGCGTGGTGCTAGTAAATGAAATATTCTCAATGTCATATTGGCTCTTGTTGGGTTCAAGATACTCGAACAGCCTGATGTAACTACCGGACGGTAGAAAAAATCGTACTTCATTGCCGTTGATACCTTTGCATTTCGCTGTTTTGAAGTTGAAATCATTTCTTAAAAGATATTCGATTTTTTGAACCGCTTGTTTCACGTTCCTATTCCTTTTAATTAGCACAACTAAAGTGGATCCGGTTTCTGCAAAGCTATAATTAGGCACGATATGTTGAAACTGCTCAATACTCACCGTATCTCTTTTTCAGAAACATTGGTGTACCAAAGCATACCAGCTCTCCTTCGTTCATTATGGCGATCCAGTCGCCAAGCGCATCGGCTTCTTCCATCGAATGCGTGGTGATCAGGATAGTTTTTTGACTTCTCCACTTATGCAGCATATCGAACAGATCTCTGCGTGATTCTAGATCCATTCCTGACGATGGCTCATCCAGGATCAGAATCTAACGAATTAACCATTTAATCTTTTTCCTCAGTGCGTAAAGTAGGACTAAAGTGTCATCTGCGGTATTGAAAGATCTACTTTAGTCCCTAGGTTTATAATTATCTACTATTGAAAATTGAAGATCTTGTTTTCTTGGAAAGCTCATATGAATGGCGAATTCTTTACAGCTTAGAGCAATAATTATCTAAGTAGGTATATAGATTTCAGATTTTCAAAATAAGTGTCTGAATTGGTTCAACAACTTCAAGAGAGGAACGAAGATCTATGTGGATGAGCTATCAAATAGAACTTACACCATTTCTATGAATTATTGCTTTCTATTTCTATTAATTCACTGATCATTCCATACCTGGGATCCACCTACAAGCGCCATCCCGAGACATAATTTTCTTTGCATGCCGCCAGAAAGTTTAGACACCAAAAAGTTCTCTTTGCCTTCCATATTTAATCTGCGTAATAGTTCTCGTATTTCGCGCTTGCTCTTATCCCTTTTTTGTCCTTTTAACTTAAAAAAAAAAGAAAACTATTGAATAAAGTTCACTCGAAAGAGAATAATATTTACAGTTGCGAAAGTCATCAAGTGGTCTTGCACGGTCAAATGGGAAAAAAATAGGTTTTCTTGAGCACAGAGACCGACAGATTTGGTAATGTCGGATCTCGATTTTACTTCCACACCATTGATTATAATTTTCCCACTGGTTTTATTGATCATTCCTAGAATCAAACTTGTTATTAGATCGTTATTATTTTGTCCCTACGTCGAGGATATTCTCCTCTAGGATTTAGTTGGAAATACTCTAAATCCATATTTTCTTTCGGAAGGTTGACAAAAATCAACATTTTCCACTACTAAACAATTATGTTCTTTCAAATATCAATAGGTACCCAGGGAAAAATATTTGAGACCAATAATTTCTATGCATATAATTCATATACAGCATCAGACAAGTTTTTGAACACAAATTTGATCTATTGAACGTTGGGGAACAATGAATACCTATATTGATGGATCAATGAACAAAACTACCAAGTTTTAATCATTCCAACTGTTACAAAAACAGGTGCCTCCTTAGTCCCATATACTATGAATTTATACAAATGGCATAATTTTGCTATGAAAGGAAAAACGAAAAATTCGGCAATTTGCTGGAATCTTTTGGAATATCGAGAGGTTGTGGCAAAGTGATTCATATTTTTCCATACTCATACCTGATATCATTCCCATCGTGGTAGTTTTTCCAGCACCGTTATGACCCAACAATACCGTAATTTGATTTTGATATATTTTCATGCTCAGGTTTTTAACTACGGGTTTCTTGCCGTACATTTTTTTCAAATTTATCAGTTCTATGCCTTTAGGTAAGTTCGCTGATTCGACGTCTTGTATTACCATCGATCGCGAAGCTGCGGCCGAAAAATTCCCAGTTGCTTTTTTTCGTTTGAAGCGCTGAAAAAAAAGACAAATCATGGAATCTGAGCTACTTTTATCAAGTATTGTGGTGTAGGTTTTATATGATTTATATCTAAACCAGCTATTTGATTATCTTTGGCTATAAAACTCCAAAAATACTAATTATCCCTGCTTTTGAAAGGAAAAATATGTCAAATGGAGACCCCCATATCCATTTCCTAAAAGCTTTCACCAAAATGGTATTGTTACGACTCTTGCGTGCGTGACAGAAATCTTGGGTCCGTTTATCCAAAAATCAAATTCCAATGAACATAATAATAATTTATTCAACGTTACTATAACACTCTGACACTTATTACTTGAATCAGCTGGACTCTTTACAACTCTTACAATATAACAGCCAATCTTAAAATTAAAACTACTAGGTACTACTGGCCTTCATATATCCGTAATCCATTCCTGTAAAATCTAGAACGCAATACTCTCTTTTACCGAACAACGCAATACGTTCTAGAATTCAGGTACCTATGCGATTCTGGGCGCCCTGGCGAAAGCGCCCTCACATATTCGTTAATCTGCTCTCCTCTTAAGCCGGTCCCAGACGCTACGTGTATTTGGCGAACATTCGGTATTCGGGTTTATTCGCGTAGCGTGTGGGAAGGTAACTTTGGCGAATATTCGCCCTTCGTCATTTTCCCGCCAATTGTCGGTAAACTGGCACGAATAAGCAAAGGAAGCGAAGTGACGTGAATTGAAGTGTAATTTCGCACTGCTCCCAGATGCTTCGGGGGTATATGCATAGTGTTTTGTCTGTTTATTGCAGTGTGCAGTGCCGCAATTAAGGTTGATTTTTGTATTTTTAGTTATTTTCAATTAAAGAAATGAAGTTCAGCGACCTCCAAAACACTTGTCATACCCAGCACGTCATATTATAGCAACTTTTTAAAGTTTGATATTTGGCCCCCAACCGGTCGCCATCTTGGATTACGGTACTTCTGGTTACCTTATCGATTTCTGGTGCTAATTTTTGATCTAGTCGACGTCAAAAACATAGGTATGTGCCGATACGCCGCACTTGGCAATATGCCAACTTCTGAAAGTTCTGTATTTAGGCCCACGACTGCCGCCATTTTGAATTATGGTACTTCCGGTATCCGAATCGACTTCTGGTACTTATATTCATGTTCAGCGACCCCAAAAACATATGAAACAACATCTTGCAGGTCAATAACCATACACTTTAAGAAAAATGTCATTTAGGCCCTTAGTTTGGCCGCCATCTTGAATTTGAGGCCTTTGGAGGCAAAATTCGGCTTGGCAACATCCGGATTCGGATTCAGCGGGGTTGAAATACCCTAGAAACGTAAAGTTTCCGAATGTCGCACGAAATGTCGCTCGGAGTAAAATGGAGTAAGATTTCTGGTAATATCCAACAGTCTATGTTGAACCGTTACCCATTTTAACTAACTTGTTAGAGCTAGTGTCTAAACATATATTACAAAGAAAGATGGACACATCTATGACAAATGGTCACTTGCTTCACTGTCCAGATACCACTCTCTGTTTGTACATTGAACATTTCCTACAAAAGAAACAGCCTTAATATCTCTGTTCACCTTGGTCATATTTATGCATTGAGAGGGTATGTGAAGTGTTCCCATCTGCCTTCTTCTTTTCAAGTCAACACTGTTCAACTTTATGACCCTGCTTTTTACAAAATGAACGCCATTTTCTGATTTGCTTTGTCAATTATTGACAGTTCTTCTTGATATGACCAGTTTTGCCACTACATAACATTTGAACTCTTTTCGACTTTGACTTGCTAATGCCACTGTCTCCTTTTCAATCTGTTTTAGTCTTTCCTCTTCTATAAGCAACTTGGATGTTAACTCTTTCAAGGTCTGTTGAATAGTGGGTGTTGATTCGCAAACACTTACAAAATGTTTCAGGTTCTCTGGTAATGACATAAGAATTTTAGTAATTACCATTTTAATAGAAAAGTTTTTTCCAGGCTATAATGCCGTGGTCGGGTAGTATTTCGTATTTCTACCTAGCGTTTCGTCTACTGCTGCGGTAGACATCTTCAGAGGCGGTGTGGTAGAGGACGAAGTGTTCTCTTCCGTGTTCCTCCAATGACTGGATTCAACGTTGTTGGACCTGCGTTATTTATATCTAGAGTTGTGGGCGTGGCTTGTATTACGCTATTTTCCTTGTCTGGTTCTCGGAAAGAAAGGGTCTTTGTTTTTTGGAGAACTGGCAACCAGCTTTTGTTAAGGTTCATGCCCTCTTCTTTTCTGTTGAAGTTGTTGTGGTGTTTCTGTATCTCTATGGATTCTCTGTGGAGTCTGGTGTAAAAATGTTTGGTTTTATCCAATGTTTGAGTCTGGTCGAAACGAATGACATGGTTTGTTGGTGTTAGCACTCTATTTGTCCCTGCTAACAGTTTCTTATGTGCTCTTTGACCCTGGTGTTGATAGAGCGTTTGGTTGTTCCCACATAGACAGATCCACAAGAGCAGGGAATTCTATAGACACCAGCCACTCCAAGAGGTGCCCTAGGATCCTTGGCCGATCTTAGACTTTGCTGAATTGTTCTTGTGGGCTTGTAGATAGGTTTAACATTGTATCTTTCTAGCGTTCGTCCTATGTGATCTGTGACATTTTTGATATAGGGAAGAAAGGCTCTCCCTGCCACCTGTGCTGGTTCCTTGTTGTTTGTGCGCTGTTGCTTCGGTCTGGTGGCTCTATTCATCTCCTGCTGAGTACCCATTTCCTTCAAGTGCTGATTTTAGGTATTGTCCTGTCAGATGGTGTTTTAATGACTCCTCTCTTTTGCCTAGGATAGTGATTGGATTCCTTGTTGAGGTATCGTCCGTATGCGTCGGCTTCCTATATAATCTGTGTCCCAGTTTACCTAAGGGTAATCTTTCTAAGAGGACGTTGAGGAATGCAATTTTGTTGTCCTTCTCAACTTCCATCGTAAACTGTATCCTGGGTTCCATTGAGTTTAGATGTTTGAGAAAGTTTTCGAGCTCTGCCTCTCCATGGTTCGGAACAACAAATGTGTCATCTACATAGCGAAACCAACAAGTAGGTTTCTTTGTGGCCATTTGTTCGAAATGTTCCATGTAGAAGTTTGCGATAACCGGGCTATCTGCTCAAATAATTCATTTCGCCATTGAAAGTACGTAGTCGTCATACAGTGGTGAAATAAGTTTTTGATTGCCTCCGCAAAAACATCTTTCAGATACCTACTCTAAGGCCTGATTCACTGGTACCTTAGTAAATAATGAGACGACATCAAAACTAATCAGAATGTCGTTTGGTAGTAGAGTGATGTCACTGATCTTTTTGATAAAATGAGTTGAGTCTTTAACATAAGAGCTAGATTGGCCAATTCGTGGCTGAAGGAGGGGGGGTTAGGTATTTGGCTATGCTGTATGTTGGCGAATCTATTGCACTTACAATGGGCCTGAGTGGGTTGCCTGTTTTGTGAATTTTAGGAAGCCCATATATTTTAGGTGATAAGGCCTCAGATTTGATGAGTTTCCTTATGTTTTCCGGGTCCAACGGTAGTGCTCGGACCGAGTTGATTGGTTTTTCGCAATATAAAAGTAGTGGGATTGCGCTTCAGCTTTCTGTAGGTGGAGGGATCCAGCAGTTCGGAAATTTTTGATTCATAGTCAGTCACGTTCATGATCACTGTTGCGTTTCCTTTATCCGCAGGCAGGACTTGTATGTTCTTGTTTGTATTCAGGCTGCGAATAGCTTTCCTTTCCTCGTATGTCAGGTTGCACTTTGGAGGTTTCGCAAGTCGTAGAATCTTAGAGGTTTCATTGCGGATTTCCTCTGCAGTGGTTTGAGGTAAGGTGCGTATGCTGGCTTCCACATTTGCTATGATGTGGCAGTTCTTTCGGTGTTATTGCAAAATTGCCTCCTCACTGGTTTCCGAATCAGTCAGAACGGTTGACAACTGTGTGATCATTGCCTGTGGGTTTCGTAGTGTTCACTGGTTTCAAGTACTCAAATTTGTTTACCAGTTTCTTGGTTGTTTTCGCTAGTGTGGCTTCCATCACATCATACGTCATTTAATCAATTTTGTCCCTCCACTGGATGCGTTGGATAACCTATCCAACAGTACCACCATATTCTGAATTTGATCTGCAGAACTTAGAAACAACACAATACCCTGGAACATAGAGCGATTCGTTGGGCTTCAACCAATGCTCCGTTAAGAAAATCATAGTATATTTCAGTCAAATGGAGGACTGGCATTAAGGGGTTTTAAAAGTAATTTTGGGATGTTGAATCAATTATAATAAAAATAAGGAGCAATTTTCATCAAAAAAATATAAATTACATACGGCATCTTAGAAACGGTAAGCTTGGCAACATTGCAAATATCACTATTGAATCGGGCATTCCCAAAAACCAGGTAGGAAATACAGTACCTACATTTTGCTGGAGCGCGTTCTCAAATATTAGGCCAGTTCCATACATAACGACAACCCTTGACTTTTAGATGTAGTATCTGTCATTAAAAAAAAATGGGCATAAAATATAGTAACATAGAGAGATAATATGATTTTGAATGTGATATCTGTCACATATTCCATTGAATTTAGGCAAATTGACGCCCATGCTTGCAACACTACAAAATTGTATATGGTTATACAGTGGCAAGCCAAAAGTCTGATTAAAATCGTTGATTGAGCTATTAATATGAATAAATCTCGTTTTATTTGTCTCTTCTGGAGCTATTTGATAGTTTAAATATCCAATATTTCGGAGGGCTTAAAGTAAATTCACGACTAACGAGGATCTGAATAATCTTACCTTCCATAAATCTTCAAATGGAAAAATTAAGGATCTAGGAACGCCATATTTTCCGGGATTTACAACGTCTAAGTAGAAGGTCAGCAACATATAAATTAGGCAATCAACTACTAGCATAATAAAAACGTGAAGCAGCGATATGCCTCCATAATCTCCGGCAACATGAAAGTTAGACCATTTCGATCCAATAACTGAAATAAGTAGATTACCAAAAAATACCTACCAATAAGTTATTGATAAAATAAGCTGATTTTTACATGATTACTGATTGAAACATGTTTATGGGTATCTTTATTGTCGGTACCCTCGCACAGTAGATACTAAAATGAATATCTACTTGACGCTTCCTGGTTTAGCCAATATTTGTTGAAGAAATTCCAATGGTCATACCATTGTTCAAAATTGCATGTATTTTTGTCATTAAATCGATTGTCAAAAAGGAAGCTATCAGCCTTAATTTGTCAAAACTTAGTTTCTTACGTCCGGATTCATAAAACGCCATCGCTCGATAACCATAAATTATCGCTGCCTGCGGCAACAACATTAACGCCATGCCAGCCGAAAATGAAAAGTAATTTGCCTGAATTAGTTGCAGCGGTACGAAGAAAGACACAATGGAAACTAGTTGTCCTATCAAAGATGCCATGTTAGCTGTAAACGAAAAGTTAAATAATAGCTTTGTGTTTTTTTGTAAAAGCTTAAAATAAAACACTCACGTTTATCCGTCCATGTGCTGATAAAAAAGCACTGCGTTGTAGTGGCGCAGATGTAGAGCATTAAAAATACATACACTATAGTTCCTTGGGTGTATTCAAAAATAGGAAAGCCTCTACCAAAAATATTGACTTTCAGGAATATTACCATAATGCTCACGACGATCAGCATCGGAAATATATTGTGTAACAACCATCCAATCCATATAACCCAGTTGCTTAGGCCTACAACTTTCATCAATTCCTAAAAAAAATACTGATTGAATGACGCTACTATCCCATATGCTATTCTTTAAAACTGGCCAGCTGTGAGTCTTTAGAGGCTCATGTATTTTGTGACGCAAGTGAATAAGTATTTGCTGCTGTAGTTCACCTTCAAATAATTTCTGCAGTAGAGATTCAAGTAGCCTTTGTAACATCAGAATCACCTTTAAAACCAGTATCGATTCCAAAACTAGAATTGCAGGCGGCAGTTATGGGTAGCAGACGTTTGACGACAGTAACACAAGAAATTAAATTAAAAATAGAGAAATCCTATATTTACGGTCGGATTCAAATACGGTATTACATTAGATTCGTGGAGTCTTCAGCCAATTTTTGAACATCTTGATTAGTAAAACCGGATCACTTTTCCCGCTAAGCTCCTCACAGTCTCGTAGCTACAAAGCTTCTTGCGCAGCCGATGATATCGCCATGTACTCTGCTTCAGTAATAGAGAGCGCGACCGTTGGTTGTTTCTTGCTATTCCACGAGATTGGTGGATTGTTCTCAAAAAACATGTAAGTGGTAACTGATCGACGATCATCTTGATCACTTATTGCCCAATCGGCATCGCAGTAGCTAACTATGTCTGGACCATTTAATTTCTGACCATTAAACTGAAGTTTCCAGTCCATCGTGCCGTTCAAATACTCGAGTATGCGCTTTAATGCAACCCAATGTGGTTGTCCTGGATTTTGGTTGAATCTGCTCACGCAGCTGACCGCATAACTTATATCTGACCTGGAAATTTGTGCAGCAAAAAGTAAACTGCCCAAAGTTTCTTGATATGGAACTACCTTCAGTTTTCTCATTTCCTCTTCAGTAGTTGGGGACTGATCCTTTGATAACTTCTCACCAGAGATCCACGTAAATCGCTAAAATTAACATTGGCATTTGTAGTGATTTTAAAATATATACAGGAGTCAGTCCAATTTTCTTTAGAAAAGCATCCAATTTTTGATTCCAGACGGGACTGGCCTGTTTCAGTCCATATAAGGATTTCTTTAAACGACAAACTTTGTTGGTTTGGTGAGAATATTCGGGGTGAACCTTATAAATTTCTTCTGAGAAGTCACCTTGTAGGAACGCTGTTACTGCATCTAGCTGATCTATGTCTAGATTATGTTCTGCAGCAAGTGCAAGTAAATACCTAATGGAACTGTAACGAACAACGGGTGAATAGGTCTCCTCAACGTCTACTCCTTTTCGTTACGCACAGCCCTTGATTACTAGACGAGCTTTATGCTGTTTGTAAAGTTTTAAACACTCATTTACAATCCAAAGGCTTTTTGTTAGGAAATCTACAAGGTCCCAAGTTCCATTTTCGATCAAGGCTCTATACTCATTTTTCATAGCACTGAGCCAATTTTCCTTATCTGATCGACTGAGGGCTTTCTGTACTGCTGTAGGATCGTTTTCTTGTTCAATTATTGTAGCATATGTTACAAAATCTCCTAATGATTAAATGATTCGGGAGGCTTTTTATTTCGCTGTGTTCTCTGAACTGAAGCTTACTGTTCCTGTATAACTTCTTCAGGAACATACATGGGATCATCTTGAAAATACTAATCACTATCTTCTCCAGAAGTGTCTGAAGAAAAATCAGCATACTCATCAGAAGAGGTGCTAATAGGTCTGTTTCTGCAGAAATCACAAATCAGTCCGAGCGAATTTCATTGGTTGAAAACAGTCAGAAACAGACAAGAAGACTAGTTTCAACCAATGACATTCACTCTGACTGGTTTGTGATTTCTGCAGAAACAGACCTTATATCGCTCCCTTGCTGATTTTCTTCTTCGACTTGAGGTTTCAAGGCCTCAACAGTTGTTTCAGGAAAATAGAAAAAATCGTGCTGATTTTGTCGGTCATTTTCGTGCGACAATAAAGATCCTCTTTCAGACTATTGAGTCCAGATGTCCAGTTTATTGGAACTGGACATCTATTGAGATAAAAAAACAATTCCTTTTTCAACATCATTAAGTCTATAGGCTTTAGATTCCAAGCTGTAACCTACGAAGATGCATGAAATTTTTTAATTAAAATGCCAGCGATTTGGATCGTAATTGGGTGTAGAAGTCGAGGTAACAGGAAAAATGTGAAATTTTATTCAGTTTCTGCTATTTTAAATCATTGGCAACGCAGGGCTTTATGGATTGCTGCAATTAAAAGAAAGGATCTAACAGAAGCTCGATTTTCCCCTAATAATAAATACCTTAAAATATTCACTCTCCATCTCAGAATTTATTAATAAATTAAAAAATACGTAGAAACACTATAAACAATATAAATATCACTTTGAAAACAACAAGGGCCAGAACACTAAAAAATACGTTGAAATACTAAAGACTATAAAATTCACTATGAAAACAACCAATGGCCAAAACCAATAAAAAATACGTAGAAACACCAAAGACTATAAAATTCACTTCGAAAGCAACAAGGGCCAGAACACAAATGTGCACAAATGCAAGCAAATGCTCTTCTTATGAACGTCACCGGCTTGTCACGGCAATATTTGACCCGAACGGCCATTATAAAATCACGTGATTGAGATTGCCTAAATAACTTTTAGTTCGGTACCTATCCAAATTAGAGGTGGGTTGCGATTTCACGTACTGTGACTTTGTCACTACTCGTCACAGTCACGGCCTGCTCCAGTCCCAGTGCTGGAAACTAGAACATCTCTTTCTCGTGACTGCGGACTGCCATTATGCCATGTTGCCATGTAGCATTAACATAATATTAGCAGTACGGCCATCAGCAACTAAGGTAAAACTGCTCCAAACTGCTATTTGTCACAGTGACACGACTGGAGTAGTCACGTCTTGTCCCAGCTCCATTAAAATCGCAAGTTGACCCACCTCTAATCCAAATTCGATAAAGCAATAATTTTTGATTCGTAAAATAGATGGCGTCACCAATGTAAAACTCGTTTTGTGGTTTTTGGTCAAAGTAGTTTGTGTTTAATTCAGGTTTTCGGCAGAAAATAAAGAAAACTCAAAGCCTCGTACTTTAAATAGGTTTTCCTGATCGGAAAAGTGGAAAATCCAAAGAAAAACCATTGAAAAATGATATTCCAAAGCCTACTTGATGAAACTTAAGTTTTTGTTACTTACCCCATTGAAAAACTCAAAATTTTTGATACAAAATGAAGCAAATTCAAAGCCTTGTACTTTAAATCGATTTACCCGATCGAAAACAGCCCGGAAAAGTGGGAAATTCGAGGAAAACTGGATAAAAATGTAAACACGTCAAATGAAAATGGTCGACTCAAAAATGACAAATGATATTTATTACAAGGCCTCCTTAATTGAAGTTAGCCACAAGCGCTGTTGTTACATCAGAGGGATTTTAAATGGAATTTTGCTAATTATGGCAATTAAAAGTGGAAATTTTTGCTAGAAAATGGAGAAAACTCAAAGCCTCGTATGTTAAATCGCTTTTTTCCATTGAAAATTCCCAGAAAAGTCGAAAATTCGAGGAAAAACTGGCAAAAAATCACAAACCGTCACTTCAAAATGGCCGACTAAAAGCAACATCGCCACATTACATCTCGGAAAACAAAAATAACATTTAAAATGAGTTTTTTGTTTAAAATTCAAATAAAAAATGGTTAAATAATTATTAAATAATGATTATAATAATTAAAATTCCCTACATAAAGCATCGGAAACTTGCTTTCAATGAAAATGACATTACAACAAGGTTTACTTGTTGATTATAGTGAGTAAGACAAAGACAACGATAAAGTAGTATATGTTTGCAAAAACCACCGTTTTCTGAAAAAAGTTAAGAAAACCCAATAGAAAACCAACATTCCAAAGTCAACTTGATCAAACTAAAGTTTTTGAATATTCCCGGCTCTTTGATTGAGTGCTAAAAATCGCATTTTGAATATTCCCGATTTTTGATTGGCTCCAAATTACCCGCTGACCAATAGAATTATAGACCCCGTGATTAAAATAACTCCGGCCCTTCGGGCTCGCGTATAACTCCGGCTTTTCGGGCTCGCATATAATAAACAGTTTTCCCGATCGAAACCGGCCTGGAAAAGTGGAAAATTCGAGGAGAAACTGGATAAAAACACTCGAAAATGGCCGACTGTCTAAAATACCAAATGAATTACATTACAAGACCTACTTGATCAAAAGCGACGTTGCCATAATTAAAATCTCAAAAATAATGTTTTTCCATATTTTAGTGAGTGAAACAAAGAAGAAGATAAGGTAGGATACATTATAAATGAGTAAGACAAAGAGCGAGATAAAGTAGGAAATAATTTAAATGATGAGTTGGTCGAGCCAAACTATCATCAGAGTAAATTTTCGATTGTTCCCGGTTCAAACACTTCGAATAAATTACTCAATTTTTTTTGACAACTGACAAACCTACATACAATATTATGACTTTTGACAATTGACGAGTTAATTTTCAGGACCATGACTTTATGACTTTTTTTGTCAATTGACAGCATTGTGATTCAGTTTGAGGCCTACAACAGCAACGTTGCCACATGTTAACAGTAATTTTGGAGCATTCGTAATTGTAAATGTAAAACGTTGACAAGTGGCAATTGACATCAAGAAACGATTGTTATGATGTTGTAGGCTGATTGAAATTTTTAACTTTTGGGAACACTGTTACGCTAAAGGATTGAAATGGCGTCTTTTTTTTAATCATGAGCCCGAAGGGCGAGAGTGTTTCCAGTCTTGAGCACACAGGGCAACAAAGGAACGCCATTTTGTATTGAGTCTTAAAGAAAATAAGGCCTACTTTGAAGCGTCAATTTTTCAACGTTTGTTGTATCATAAGCAGTATTGCCATATGTTTTTTTCAAATCTCCAGCCTGAATGGCCGGTGTTGGTTTAATTACGTTACGAGCCCGAAGGGCCGAGGTTATACGAGCCCCAAGGGCCGGAGTTATATGAGTCCGTTCATTGTCAACTGAGTTTAATACCTATTATGAATATTACAAGTCTGTGATGGCCTTAGACGTTCTGGGTTGCACGCGCGCTACACTGAAGGAATCAGCGTGTTTTCCCTGGCCGAGTGGCCCGGGTAACCCGCTCTGGTACAATTTTTCTTCAATTTTGATACAAAAAATTTTTGCTCTCTGGCAACACTGGCAAGGACAGGGCATTTTGCGACCAATCAGAGCCACGCGGTATTGTTTATGTTTCAAACTTGACAATGTCAAAATCTATCTTGGGAAAAAATAGACTGTAGTTGTATGAGCCTCATGCAATGAGATTTCGCCCCGGCCAAGGTTTCTAAAGTTAATAGATTGTCTGGTAATGGGTAATTTAATGACGCATCTGGGGTGCCTTATGGAGATTTTTTTTTTTTTTTTTTTTTTTTTTTTTTTTTTTTTTTTTTTTTTTTTTTTACGGATATGCGCACTCGCAAGGAAATGTCCTATCACGCTCGAGAAGCGGCAAGTGCATCATGTTGAGGCACCCCAGATGACGTCATGAAGTTATCAGGCCACCTACCTTTCTAGGTACTACTAGTGGTGTTATAGACTAGGATATGGATCTATAATAACACAATTATAGTTTTTGTGATTTGACAAATGTCATAGTTAAACCTGTAAAGGTAAAATAAAGGTAGACCGAAGTAGAATAAAAACTACTAATAAACGAAAATTGAAATAGTTATTTTCCTAACAAGTGCGGAAAGTGATACTTTCCCGCACGCGACTGCCGTTGACCCGAACGACGCGAAGCGGAGTTCGGGCAAGCAGTCGAGTGCGGGAAAGACACTTTCCGCATGAGTAAGGAACATTATTTTTCCTGCGAGCGCGTTCAAATATAAAAATAAAAATTAAGTAAATTCAAAGCGATATATTAGGAAATCGTTCAATTACAATAGTTATTTATGTATCAAGGGTACTAAGTAGATGATTATGCCCTGAGGGCGACAGTCTTACAAGGCCGAGTAACTCTGGCCCGAGGGTTTATATATCTATTAGTACCCGTGGTGCATACAAACTTTTATGTCATACGAGTTGGTTGTGTATAATAAATATATATAGGAAGCCTTCCAAAGAAAAATACATATATATACAAAGTATATATACGAGTATATATACAAGTATATATACAAGTATATATACAAGTTTATATACAAGTATATATACAAGTATATATACAAGTATATATACAAGTTTATATACAAGTATATATACAAGTTTATATACAAGTTTATATACAAGTTTACATACAAGTATATATACATGTATATATACAAGTATATATACAAGTAGCATATATATAAAGTAGCATTTCGCGCGCGGCGTCATGAGAACGTTAAAAAAACCATACCTGTATACAATGTCAAAAAAAATTATAAAATTTTTGAAAGATCCACAAATTAGATTAATATGGATTAAAATAGCAAAAATGTATGCAGACAAAATGTTTGATTAATTATCAAAACTGACACTTCTGAACGCCACTTTCCCGCACTAGTGCGGGAAAGTGACATTTTCGGAACTAAAATGCGTGCGGGAAAGTGATAAAAAATGCACGCTCGTAGAAAAAAACATTTTCTTATTTTTCGCTTTGTAGATAAAACGTTGTACATGACACGTGCGTTTAAACGCACTTGTATTGTAAATAACTAATCAATGGAAGGGGCGGGTATATTTTTTCATAGGAATAAACAAATTTTTATTACATAGGTATTTCACCTACATTTTCTAGTTCTTATCACACATTAGTGCACTAGGTAGTTGAATGGGAGACTATTTTGCTGCAAGATCATTGCCGAAACAGTAGATGATTTCTTGATGTTACAAGTTCGGAAAGTAGTAGGTTATACTTATTATTCTCACCTTAATTCCAGTATATTTTTCTTCGGTAATGCTTTTTAGTGTTACCATAGTGATAAGGCAAAAGCTAAACCATGTAAAAATTGGTAGAGTCGTCGAAATAGTTTCCACTGTCTCTGATGTTTTATGTGGCGGATAAGGAAATTCCTGCGCTCTTCCTGCAACGATTTTGGAAAACAGTTTTCGTTTTTCTTGTTCCATTTCCATAAAAGATATATCCACTGCTTTTTGAATTGCAACGAATCCGTTATCTAGGTAATGGCTGCCTATAAGGTAAATATACAAGTAAGTTAAGATTACTTTAGAAATAACTTATGTACAATTTAGGTATCATGAGCGTGATCATGGTTTATGGTTTGTTTGTTTTGCTCATAAATTATCATTCGGATTTCTATCCACAACATAGTACCTACAGGTGTTTTTAAATCGTGTTCATCTGAATATTTTTGAATCATAACGAATTACTAAAATTGAAATCCGGACATAAACTGACGGAAAAATTGAAAAATGAAGCCTATGCAGAAAAAGAGTCTATTTTTTCTCACTCACCCACTCCAGTATGATTTCCGCTTTTGAGGTAAAGACTTTTGGTTTCAGAGTATTTTTGCTCTAGCGACGAAATATTTTCTCGCACTCTGATGGTGTAATCCAAATTTCTGGACTCAGCGGCAGAATGAAAGATGATGAGAAAAACATGATCTTTTTTACTTTTAGCAGACTGCTCCACTATCTGTTTCAGGTCCTTCACTTTGTGAATGGCTAGAAAACGGTCAATTTTAAAAGGGACATTGATATGTAAAGCTATTTTACCCGTATAGGACATCTCGAATTGTTTTCCTACTCGATTTAGCAAATTATCGAAATATGTATTAGAAGGATTGTAGTAGATTTCAGATTTGTCGTTTTTAAATTTATCACCTAGAATATCTTTTGGCGAATGGTGGGTAACAGTCTTAACTTTGGCACTAGCTTCGGCACTATTTCTCGAATGTATAAATGCCAACAATAGAAACGATAATATTGGTAAGGCGAAAACAACCACAATTGTCGTTATCAGTGAATTTTTTCGTAAAAGGAGGTTTTTCCAAAAAATGGCTCGTAGTTGATATGTTCTCATTATTGATTGTAGTTTTTTCTGCGGAAAAAAAGGCGCTGAGTGCTTAGACTGATTCATTATTACATAGAAACTTACGTGTAGTCCTGTGAATCAAAATAACTACAGTAAAAAAAAAAAAGTTAAACATGCACTTTTTTGATAAAAAAAAATGACATCTAACGAAATTTGACAATATGATTTGTTATCAAAGCCGCCTTCTACTATACCTACTCTTAGCAGATTTTTATTTGAATAATATGTTGTAGCCGTCTCGTAGCCATGTCGTAGCCGTCGTACCTATACCAGCATTTTATTATTTAAAAATCAGTGATTCATTGATTAAGCTGCGTTTAAACCTTACGCTGATTATCTCTTGGTCCTTATCCATTGCGCGTGGTTTGAAAATGATAAAAGTGCTCAGTAAAATGTTATTTTTTTACTGTTAAAGAGCTTCTACAATGATCAACGAGAAAGCAACACAATATCTTACAAATTCCTCCAACCTTCTTCTAAACAGAACTTGCCTATCAATATTTCTTTTGATCACTGCTATCACGTAGTTTCTGCTAAGGTTTTCTTTGTATTGAGCAGCACCGAGTGCACTCCGTGCATCTAGGGTGTTGCTTTGGTAGCTGATAACTGGGATGGGTTTTATAGTAGGTACTTTCCGTACTATATGGGCAGTACTCAGGACCACTGCTTTCATGCATTTGCTGGAGATTGTGTTTTCCTGAAACTTCTTTAATGGTGGCATTGGAGATAAGTCCTGTGGCTCCAATGATGATAGGGATTACCTTGGCCTTCTGTTCCACATTCGCTGTACTTCAATCTGCAGGTCTTTATATTTAAGCATCTTTTCAGCTTGGCTTCTCTATTAGGCAGTGTTTTTTTTCTTATCTTTGACTATTAGGTCTGGCCTGTTTGCAATTATTTTCGTGTCAGTGTGCACTTGTGTGTCCCATATGATTGTTACATTTTCTGTTTCTACTACAGGGTCCGGGGTGTGCTGGTACCACTTCTCGTTTACCTCTATCTTATAGTGTTTGCAAATGTTCCAGTGGCTACTGTGTTGTGTCGCTCCAGATACGCATGTTTTGCTAGAATGGGGCAGCCCGCAATTATATGGTGGATGGTTTCACTGAAGGACCGGCACAGTCTGCATTTTGGGTCTGTTTTCATGATTTTTGCTTTGATGTTATTTGTTGCAATGGCTTGGTCTTGGCAGGCAGTTATCAGCGCTTCCGTCTCAGTCTTCAGGTTTACATGGAAGAGCCATGCCCACGAGTTATTCTAGATGATGGTTTCTTTGATGGCCTCTTTTGCTATTTGTCCATGCAGTGGCTAAACTTCCCATTTCATTATTCGTTCTGCCTTCATCTGTTGCTTTAAATTCTTTTACTTTTGTTGTTTCAGGTTTGCCGCGGTTGTTGTGCTGTGGTTCTCTTTCTTCTTCATCTGTGGTGTTGTTTTCTTTAGGGGCACCTTGTTGTTGTCTGTACACCATTTCCAGATATTTCTCCAGGTAGCTGTTGATTTCCTCCTTGTCTCCTTAGCAATGTTGTAGGTTCCTTCAATACTAATAATGCCTCTGCCTCCTTCTTTTCTAGGTATGTACAATCGGTCAATGGCGGCTCGTGGATGGAGAGCGCCGTACATTGTGAGGAGCTTGCGTGTTTGGGAATCCAGCTTCCGTATTTCTGCCTGAGTCAACTTGATAATCTCTAGACTGTATTAAACGACAGGGAGAGCTTATCCCTAGGTATTTATACACATCAGTTTGTTCTAGTGCTCTTATGGTCGTCAATTTTGATATTCTTCTGCTTGCAGTCGTCCCTTCAGGAGTGCTGCCTTTGCGCATTTTTCTAACCATCTAACCCGAACTCCATGCTGATGTCATCGCTAAATTCTTTGACGATTACAAGTTGATTTGCAAGTTCTTCGTCTGACTTTGATATAAGCTTCAAATCATCTACATACAACAGGTGACTGATTTTCTCACTTCCATTTTTGCATTGATATGCTATCTCAGAGTTGTTGAGGATGGAACTTAGCTTAGGGGAAAGAGTGCGACTCAAAATAGTAGAGGTGATAAGGAGTCACCTTGGTATATTCCGCTCCTTATCTTTATGTTCCCAATGGTGACCTCATTTGTGTCGTTGTTGTCGCTCTCTGCTTCCGATGTCATGTGCAGCTCGGTGTTCTATGCGTTCATTGTCTTGCTGATGAAGGATAGGAGGATTGAGGGTGCTCTGTAAATGTTGAGGGCTTCGATTATCCAGGTATGCGGGACCTTATCGAACGCCTTCTTGTAATCTATCCAGGCTATTGACATATTTTTCTTCCTTTCTTCACAATCTTTCTGTAGCATTTTGCTTGTGAGTACTGATCTTTGCAGCCATACGTGTTTTTGGCGCATCCTTTCTGTTCTGCAGGAAATATATTATTTTCTGCTAAGTGGTGGTACAGTAGCTCAGCTATCAGTTTCGTCAGCAGCTTGTAGATGTTATTTAAGCAGGTAATCGGTCTGAAGTTCTTCGCTTGTTCAGTGTGCTCATTCTTGGGTATTAGGAATTTTCTTCCTTTTGTCGGCCATGCTGGTATGTCTTGCTTATCATGTCATTGAATGTAGATGTTAGCTTCACAGGGGATGATGTCAGTTTCTTTAGCCAGAAGTTGGTAATGTCATCTGCTGTATTGCTGATTGCTACTCTGAGTTCATCTTCTGTTATGTTCTCCCATTTCATTCTGTCGACTTTAGCAGTCTTGTCATATTCCTGTTGAATCCATGGGGCTGTTGCATTATGGGTGGTACCTTGTTCCCATATTTCCCTCCAGAATGCTGCGACTTCTTGCTTGGGTGGCGCGGTCTTGGCAGTGTAATTTTTTTTCATGATGCTATTATAGAATCGGCTGATGTTTTCTGCGAACATTTTGTTTTGTTGTATCGCAATTGTGTTTTTAGTAATAATTGTGTCCCTTGTGTGTGTTATTATTATTATTATTATTATTATTATTATTATTATTATTATTATTATTATTATTATTATTATCATCATCATTCAAATGTTTTCTCGGATTTAACCGATTTGTCCCTATAGGCAGACGGGTGGGTAGGTCAAATCTACCTAGTGAACTTTAGGAAAGTTCGGGTTTTATTGCATTTTTTAAGGATTATGATTTTCTGTATGTACTCATGTATGATTGTATCTAGCTGCAGATGTTTTAGATGTTGAGTGAATGGTTTATGTGATGTATTATGTCTATGTCGTAGTATAGTTTGAAGCTTTTGTTCTCAAGTATACTATACTGTCTGGCGTGTAGTGCTAATATGGTGTTTCTGTGGTGATAAGGACATATTTATGGGCCAATGCTTGGTGTATTACTTTAACTGTAATGTTGTGTCTTTTTGTGTATGACGTGCCTGCCTATATTTTACATCCTCCTACTACATGATCAATAGTTTCCTGGTGTTGGTGGCATTTTCTGCATAAGTCGCTTATCTCTGTATTTTTCATTATACAGGGTGTCCCACGACGGTTTTCCCAAGTAATAACTTCGGAAAGCGTTATCCAATATAATTGAACTTTTGAGGATCTGGGTAACTTTTTGTGCCGCTTTTACCAATGTCATCCAATTTCACCACTTCCGCTTCAATTTTGATCAAATCTAACTCATGGTATATTATGGCATTTTTCGTTAGAAAATTAAATTAAAAAATCAGCAATGCCATATTTGTTAAGGCTTTGTTAACGAAAATGATAAAAAATTATACAGTGGAACATACGAGGATGCGTTCTGGAGTTATCATTTGGGAAAAACCTCGTGTAGATTTCTGGTCGGTATCAACTGATGAATAAAGCCTTCTGTTTCTGGGTAGAGTTGTCCTTTCTGTAGCCATCTAATATGATTCTTGTTTTTGAATCTGTTCGTTGTTCAAGTTGTAAAAGTGTTTTCCGTGTAGCTTCTTTTGTGACCATTCCTCCATTCTCTGTTCTTGTGTTTGTATTTGTTGTGATTGTGTTTCAGACTGAGAGAGGTTAAGTGGTGTATTCTTTATCTGCTTGCGCGACTGCTGAGTGTAATGAATTTTGCTTGCTGTGCAAGTGAGGGTTTGTATCTGCTTTGCATGGAGTAAGTGAATGTCTACTAGCCCTCTTCCGCCTTCCATCCTAATTATTGTGATCCTCTCTTTCAGGAGTTTGGGTGTAGTTTCCTATTCTTCTTCAATTCAGATCTTGTGAGGATGTTTATGTTTTCCAGGTCTGTTTTTGTCCATTTAATTATTTCGAAGGAATACGTAAGTAGCAGCGGATGGCAAACGTGTTGATAGTTTTGTACCTGGTGATTCCGAATTCCATTCCGATGTCTGTTATAACTTTTTCCGTTATTCTCAGTAATCCCCTCATTTGTGTCTGTGTTGATGCACATAGTTTGATGTCGTCCATATAAAGCAGATGGTTGATTCTGTGTTTTACTCTGCTTACCGACTAGGTATTGATGATACATGCTGCAGATGGATAGACTGCATGTTTCGAGGTAGAGTCATCCACTCCACGTTCCTAGATAAAACAGTAACGTCTCGGGTTGCAAAGGGATGTCCGCAAGGCGGATTATTATCACCCCTGCTGTGGAATCTGGTGATGGTCGAGCTGATAGAAGCTACTGAAAAGCAACAACCACCAAGTACTGGGATATGCAAATGACTTGGTCATAATATCCTAGGGAAAATTCAACCATTCAGTTAAAGATCGCATGCAGCATGCTCTAACAATGGTCTCTACGTGGACAGAGACTGTAGGGTTGAAAATTAGTGCCACCAAATCGACAATTGTTCCCTTTACCAAAAGAAGGAAAATGGAGGGACTTGGAACTTTTTACCTTCAGGGAAACCCAGTTACGATGTCGGACGAAGCTAAATATCTTAGGGTAATCATAGATTCAAAATTAACTAGAAGAAATATCTGGAAAAAAAGTAATTAAAAGGTTAGAACTGGTACTTGTACTATCCAGGAGAACTTTCGGAAAAACTTGGGGCTGCGGCCGGACATGATGCACTGGCTATACACAGCGGTTGTAAAGCCAGCAATAACCCATGCGTTTTTGTTATGGTGGACAAAGACACAACAGGACAGAACCACAATGAGATTTGGCCTATATGGGCATTACAGAGTGCATGAAAATCACACCAACAGCAGCTATGGGAGTTCTACTAGATCTACCTCCGCTACACATTCAGGCGGAAGCCTCCACAGACAACGAAACAACCTGAGAAAACTAACAGACAGATCAGGCCACACATAAATAGGGGAAGTCATAAATCTGACAGTATTCGACATGATAACTAACTATGCACTTCCCAAATACTCACCCGACATGTCCTTCCAAGTCCTAATTAGTGGAAGGGGGAGTGGGAAAACTAACATGCACTCTCCAATCTCCAAGGCCGACCTGGACTCGCACGGGTCAAAGACTGAAAATGGAACAGGCGCAGGAATTTACAGTCAAGAAGGAAGATGCGAGACCTTCTTTCCTTTAGGGTCACATACATCTGTTTCCAGGCAGAAGTATATGCAATACTACAATTCGATGAACACTCAATGGAATGGGTTGTGCCCTAGTAGCCCTTTTTCTCCAGACTTTTCAGAAGGAATGATCTAAGACTTATTGGTCTAAACGATTAATGTTGATGGTCGGTTCTACCTGTTCTGGATATATATACCTACCCTTGTCCTTGCAGCTAGTTGGTGTGTGACAGTGACACCAAGCTTGATCTGAATAATAAGTGGGTAAGGTATGTATGTTATTTGGAATTACCTGGTATTAAATAAAAAGCAATGAATCAAGATCTTTACCAGATTTATTTTGACAAAAATAATGTTCAGATCACAACAGAATTATATCCTGAAATTCTCTTCTCTATTACAACAACTCTATACCTAAACGTCAATTAAGTATTTATCATCTTAAATTTAGAAGTAGATAATATTACCTGTCATTGAAGTTGATGAAATTGGCGTTGGTGCTTCATAGAGATACTCAAAAGTTGATGATTTTTCTAATAAACTTGGACAGCTAAATGATGCAACATACACTCTAACATTATTCAGAATATTCTGGTTATCGTCATCATCAGAACATATATCTTTTGAAGATGAACTATATTTACTTGAACTATATAAAAATTCCACCGAATTTTTGAATGTAAGATAATTTGGACGAAAACGTGAAAGATTGTCGTTGAAAATATTGCTTATAACAGGAACAGGAAGTTGTTGAAGCAAAACGGCTAATTTCATTGTCTTGTCTGATGATAGTGTACCACTACCATTCATTTGAATCAAACAAGAATCGACACACTCTACAGTTTCATGTAAAACAGCTCTGACTTCGCATGGCTTTGATTTATTGTACTTTTGGCTTTTCTGGGTTTTCACAGGCTCCCGGCTAATTTTAATAGACTTCTTGTTTTTATGGTTTTTTATCATTTTGCGTAATCCACGATCGTACCGTTTGCGTTTCTCGTACGTGCTCACTTCATCAATGGCAGGATCGTTTCTGGTGACATGTCGGAACGCAGCTCTACTTTTCACTCTCGTTTGAGGAAAATTTCTAAATTTTTCCATTAAAATTTCATTTCTTGGCGATTTCTGTTGTGGACTTTTAGTCGTTGACAAGGAAGAAGATGATTTTTTTCTTGGTGTTCGAAGCTTGATAGGTTCAGTGGCTTCAAAATCCACCTGAGTATTAGATGTTTCTTCTTCGATTCTAGGTGATTCCTGAATAGGTGCTGGACTTTCAGGTCTTGGTGGTTTTGTTCTTGGTGTTTGAAGGTTTACAGCTTCAAATTTAACATGACTTTCACGTATTTCACTAACATTATCAATTCTTGGTGATTCGTGAATAGGCGCTGAAGTTTCAAGTCTTGACTTGCAAGTAGGTGGTTTTGCTCGAGGTGTTTGCGGCTTTAAACGATAATAACATGGTTCCTTTTTAGGGATGATTGTAGGCCTAGCTCTTGCCGCTCTACGTAGGCTGGTCGTTGTTTGCCTTATTCTGGTTATATCTGCTGATGGCCGAACAAAAGCATTTTTCGTAAATCTATCGGGTTTAACCTGTTGAATGGGTATTTTTGATTTATTTATTGAAGCCATGTTGCTGCAAACGGCATTTCTCCTGAATCCTGTTGGCGTAACGGGTGTTGACTTATGTGGTTGAGGTGTTTTGCTTTTAAATAGTTGCTTGGAGCCTGAAAAATTTGAAATAGCATACGAAAAAAGACTGAATTAATGCTTAAAATATGTTTTTCTGTTGGAAATATGTTCATTTGGAATAAGGAAAAACATTACGAGTTCAAAGTGAAAATATCTTAGTTGGAAGAGATCACTACTGGAAAAAGTTTCTAGTGATAATATAAAGAGCAGAAACATTTGACATTTGGAGTGCAGACAGCTATTGAACAAATTAGAAACAACAACAAATTACTAAAAAACTCCTCAAATAGCTGGAAAATAATAGTCACATACATACATAATGAGCCATTTAGATGGAAACCCATAGGACTGCGATTACCTTCTAGACAATGAAAGTTCCAAGCTATTCTACTATTTTCAACTAAAAAACATATTTGCAGACTCGAGCCTTCTACTACTTACCAACTGACATTTCCCGATATTCTTTTTCCTGGCTCATGTCAAGGGTTTTGGATCCAATAGCAGCATCTACAGTTACTACAGGTCCCTTGAGGTTTCCCTCAACATCCTCTTCCAAATTTTCAACATTTTCGTACAAACTAGTAATGTTAAAAAAGTCGTCTTCAATTAAAATTGCCGAACCAACGGACGCTTCAATGGTGTCAACCGATGGCAACCTCGTAAAAGTCTCTTGAAGGTAGCCTGTAATTTTGTGAACTGAATTAAACTATTTTTGGGTTTTCATTGGGTACTTTTTTTTGGTTTTGCCTCAGAACGCTTGAAGACTTTTGCATTGTTTAGAAATATTCGCTTGTTTGTTTCATATTGGTTTTCATATTTTGATGCTACGACGTAATTTTTTGAATTGGTTTGCGGTATATTCTTATGAAGGCTGAAAAAAAAAAAGATTACCTATGTAATAATGATACAACATAATAAGAGAAGACAACTAATATACTCCTGGACAAAATTATCGCACCACTGCTTATGGCGATCCCTATGTGCAGTGGTGCGATAATTTTGTCCAGGAGTATATTATGAAAATATCATATAACCAAGAAGTAAGAGTAGATGGAGTGACCATCTGATGATATGCCAGGGAAAAAAGGCCATTCGAACAATTTTGAAGAGACTATTTTAACCTTGTAATACAAAAAAGATTGAATTAGTCGAGCCAAAAAAAGAAGATAAGAATGATATCTCCTTGTTATTTCTAACATAAAGGGTATCCACGAAAATCATCACCGACCTTTTATCATCTAAAATGGATATTCGTTTACCACTGAGGTATTCCAATTCTTTTTATAGGTAGCCTGTATCCTGTTCCTGTTTGTTTGTCGATGTCATGCTATCACCTACTGTCGCTAATAATGTCTCACCCATGGCCACTCCTTCTTTTTTTAGGTGTTTCATCTTTATTCTTAAGTAAATTCAATACAATTTGGCAAAGGTACAAAATTCCTATACATGTAAAAGGTTTGCTAGAATTTTTTGTTTTCGCACCTCTAGATTTTGATGGGACGCAGAAACCAAAGCGAAAAAAGACTAAGCAAGAATATTTTAAGACGTGCCATGAGGCTATTCCCACTTTTACCAAGAGTTCGATAAAACTCACATGAGAATGGTTTTTCATAGTGATATGCCCGAGGACAAATGGGACGACGAAGCAGAAGTTCGAAGCAATGGATGAAAAGTATTCTACTGCCAAGAGAATCAATCAATTGAATAAAAATGAAGCCATCGGTAATGCGAATGTCAATATGATAATGTCGTCAACGCTAGCTTCACCCAATTCCACTTTGCATAACTTTGCTCAGCCTTTAAATGTTACCTCACCCAAGTTGACCTTGCTTGTATTTAAAGGAGACAATCAACGTTTTCGGATTTGTTTCAAAATCTAATTCATAATAAAGCTGGGTTATCCAGTATCAGATATAGAAAAGTTCCAGTATCTTCTCTCTTTTCTTAAGGGGGAACCGCTAAACTAAATTGAAGCTATTCCAATAAGTGAAGCAAATTGCTCAGCCGCTCAGCCATTATCAAAATGAAATATTCCTGGCAACAACCTATTTAAATGAAATATGGATTTTTTTCTAAAGTGTCGAATAGGTTTAATTTGCGCAATGTTCATGGAAAACCTCTTTACGCCCTTATAGGAGCTATAGGGCCCTTATTCTCTTTTCCATTTGGGATTTTATTCTCCTATATTTTTTGCCCGAAGAGCTGAGACGTCGACCAGTACAAAGTTTTGAATTAAGCACTAGCTGACGTCACACACATAAGCTCACTTTCGACAAAGTTTAAGGACTATTTTACACACATCAGCTAGTCAGATTTGTCTGAACAGGTAACAGGCAGAACGATATTTTATTTTTCGTTGTTCTCTCAATTCAATATAGCGCCGTGGGAATAACACAGCTGACAACCGTAAAGGTACGTGTGTGTATTACATACAATTGCCATTCAAACTGCAACCAATTAGAATTGAATGTAAAGGCACCTTCACGGCGGTCAAGTTTGTTATGCCCACGTCGCCATCTTATCAGCTGATTCGAATTGCCTAATTGAAATGTCACGGGCAGAGGTGAGGTTATGTGGGTGACGTCATTTGAAGTTATTTCTCACAAATAGTTCGGCTCATAACTTAAAGAAGTGCAAATCTGCCTCAGTTTGTCGTACCTGTAGTTTGTGCCATCACAATTCACTGCATTTTGATTCAGAAAAGACTCCCAACTCCCCAGGTCTACACATTTATCCATCTAGTACTATTCAACCGTCACCCGCCAGACAATAGGTACCCCCATTGTTCAGCCCGAACTTAAGATTTTCGTCTACCATGAACTCGTGTGTAGGGCGTATAATTCCAAACTCAGGGGTTCTTTTGGCAATCGCATTAGTTGAAGTCTTTGATTCCCAAAGCAACCCGCATTGCGTTAGAGTTGTGGTGGATAGTGCCAGTCAGGCAAACTTTATCTCAAAAAGATGCTTCAACCGCTTAGGTTTGACTTACTCAATATAAAATATTGTCACCATTCTCGATTGGACCTCCTATCAACAATGAGTTGTCAGTCAATTTAGAAGGTATATTAGGTATCTCACCAAAAGTTTGACATGTCAACGGCGTTTTTCAAAACCGATTCTTGGGATCACATACAATTTGAAGTAAGCTGATCTATCGTTTAACGCTCCCTGGTATCGATTTGTTATTGGGTGCTTCAGTTTCTCGTCATATTTTGTTGTCTGGAAAAATTGATGGAGATGTTTCATTTTTGGATGGGTGCTGATGAGAAAAATCAACTTTCAAGCGAAAGATGAACCGCTGGGGATTTCTGATGTACAAACTTGGGGATGTCGCAGGATTTCGAGGGATGTCCATGGATTCTCCGGATTAGTCCCCAGTACATCGACCCTAAAATTTTGTAACTCATCTACAAGCCAAACTTCCTGAGCGGCTTCATAACAACAAGTTGAACAATTTTGCTCATATCTTCAACCTTGGCGATGGGACATTGTCGCGCTCGCTCTTCGTGAAGTTGACATGTCACGCCCTTAACATGTTGCTGTTAGGAGCTTCGGACCCCCTCATTACCACGAGATTTCTGTCCGACAAATGTGATATCTTCGATATAACAAAAAAAACAGTCGATTGGAATTGAAACTACACGTACATGTATCACCGTTTTCAGGGACGTCAGAATGACAACTTCGCGAAGAGCTAGCGCGAAATGTGCCATCGCCCAGATTGAAGATATGAACAAAATTGTCTGACTTGCTGTTATGAAGCCGCTCAGGAAGTTTGGTGTGTACATGAGTTACAAAATTTTAAGGTCGATGTACTGAAAACTATAACAAGCTAGAGTGCATCACAGTTAAGGAACTCTTCGTATGCGAAGAAGCTGTTATTAATCAGTAAGCGTTTTACCGCTGAGCCATAACCCAGGCCAGGGAGTAGCTTTATATGGGCAGGTTATTTATTATAGAACAATGGTGCAAAATAGTTCAATGAAAATCGACTTCTTTGAAGTCTAAGAAAGTCCATTCTTATGTCACCTCCCTGCCTTGTATTATAGTTGTGGCAATCGTCATTTAGGTTGTTATGATTCTGGTTTTCATGTGTATACTTGAGACATTTAGAGATGTATGTCGATGGTATAGTAAGTGTGCTCAAGTCGATGAAAATATGCCTGACATCCCCTTGCCTACAATAATCCTTGCAGCTCTGCGTTGCAAGACGAAGATTCTATAGCCGTGTGACAAGAATGCCCCAAAGCAAGTATAGCATAGGTTGCCAAACTTCCAGAAAGTTTACCAGCAACCTCTCCAACATGTTGTTCTAAAGTTAGTGTTGAGTCAAAATACACTCATAGAAACTTGACCCTTTGTCCTCCGGAATTTGCCGCAAACTGAAGATAATTTTAAAGTTTTATCCGTATTCAGGGACAACTTATTTATTAGCCACAAACCAGTCAGAGAGTTTCCTCTCATCCTGCCTCGCCGTCTCCAACAAGACCCCTAAACTACTTCCCCTCTAACGACCGTCGTATCATCAGCAAACTGCCGCAGCTTTCCTCCCTGTAGTTCAAACTGGAGATCATTGACACAAAAAAGAAACAGAAGGGGTCCGAAACTGAACCCCTGTGGGTTCCCGTGTCTGACAACTGCCCAATCGGAAAGCTGTCCATTGAAGAACGTCTGATGTCTTCTGTTCGCCATGTAGCTCTCAGTCAGAAGGAAGCTTGAATCTTCTAATCCATAGCACCTAAGCTTGTACAACAGAACCCTATGCGATACACAATCAAATGCTGATAGGTCACAGAAGGATGCACAAGCATACTGTTCGCCCTCGAAGACATCCACCAGGTAACCATGCAAGTCTGCCACAGCAGTGGTGGTAGACCTTTTGACCCTAAAGCCATTCTGACATCCTGCCAATAGGTTGTTTTGCTCAAAATAGCCATATAATGTCTGCCCAGCGACTCTGTGTCTACGGGGCAACGGTGAGGGGAATGCAGTTGTAAAAAAAAGGCTGATTTCATTCATAAAATACCCAGCTGCGTACTGAACTTTTTGGAAGTGTTATCGTATTGCCTAGTATTTTCGCTTTTTTATAATTAAATGTGGCAACATGGCACATTTACGTCCGAATTCCTTCCGTAGACTCAGATCAGCTGGGCAAAGTAGTTATTTATGCACCTAGGTCAAAAAGTACAGCTTTAACGCCCGCAGCGTGTGTAACAGCCTGAGGCGTTAGCCGAGGGCTGTTTACACGCTGAGGGCGTTAAAGCTCTTTTTGACTGAGGTGCATACAAGATTTTATGCACGATGAGCATGCTTTCATTTTGATATTTGAAAAATTATATATTTTCAATTTTGTAATGACATCAATCAAAAATATTTCAAAATATAAATTTTCATCTTTACCGCAATAGGTCCTAAGTTTTTGTCAAATTTAGATCAAGGAAGCAGTTGTTGACAAAAGTATCACGTAACTATTATAGCAACCCAGAACAATACAAACAAATAATTATGTGCTGTGTAGTGTACGTGTATGGTATTCTTATGATGGTGCGTCTGAAAATGGAGCAAAATAGCATGCCCAAGTTTATTCTTGAGGCAGTTGAAGAGGCCAAGAATCATGTATACCTTCAAAGTCCAAAAGACTCTATGAAAAAACATATGAGGACTTTGTTTCCTGATGTGCCCAACATAGTGTAAATGAGCATGGTCGCCCGAAGGGGGGGGCAGGGGGGGGCATCTGCCCCCCCCCCTGGCTTTTAACATAAATACTTAAAAATAAATATTTCATTTACGTTGTGTTGTTTTAGTTTTGATTACAATTTTTTTTAATTTTTTTCCCACAAGGAAAAGTAATTTGTGCACCTATCAAAAGAT